CAAGATGGGGAGGAAAACTCTTTCTTGCAAAAAATATGTTATAGAACTATAAGTCATTCTCAATGGAATTGCAGAAAAGCAGAGCTCCAATAAAACAAACTCGAAAGTTGTAAAAAAACARTTTTGGTGAATTTTGGCATATAGGAATATATGCCCTTTTCAACATTTATAGACTCTATAAAGCAATTTTGAAGTTAACAGTAAAATCCTAGGTTACCAGCCCGGACGTCCGGGACCCTTTTTTATTCCGGGTTGTCCGATCGGACAACTCCCCCGGTTGTCCGAGCAGAGCCCAGTGTCCGGGGTGGTGGAAAAATCGTACGTCGGTCCGACGGGGTTTTCAGCCCTGCGGTGACGTTTTTCAGGGTCCGTAGTACCCCCCTTCGGTCTACCCAATTTTATTGACACCGGTAGGACCCCCCAAAACAAGACTCAGAAAGGCCTGGTCTGGGCCGTCAGATCTAACACGTCTACGGCCCAGATCAGGTCAAATTCAAGTTTGAAATTAGCGTCCGACCTCCTCCTCATCCTCCTCTTCCTCCTCCCAATACTATTTTTCCTCTTTTTCTTCAGAATCTTCCTCGTCGTCCAAAAAATCACCTGTAAGTACTTAGCAAGGTTTCGACGCAATTGGAAGATTGTCCATTGGACTGCAGGATGACTACGAGCAGGCCAGCAATATATCCTGGATTCGGATTCAGGTCTGTGTTCCAAGATTTATGGGTTACGAACTTACTACAAACACTACAGTAGCTGCCTCGTTTTTTGGATTTTCCTTTTCTTACGTGCAGTGGCCCTAAGTGTCTTGCTCCACTCATCAGCACTTGCAGAAACGAAAAACGTATGGCTTGTATGGTTCCAATTTCTAGGAGAAGATTCATTCTAGTTTTGCACATAGAGTAGCTGTCTCCTTTTTTTTGTTTTTCCTTTTCTTACGTGCAGTGGCCCTAAGGGCCTCGCTCCACTCATCAACACTTGCAGAAAAGAAAAACGTATGGCTTGTATGGTTCTAGTTTCTAGGGGAAGATTCATTCCCATTTTGTGTGAACAGTAGTTGTCTCGTTTTTTTTTTCCCCTTTTCTTACGTGCAGTAGCCCTAAAGGCCTCGCTCCATTCATCAGCACTTGCAGAAAAGAAAAACGTATGGCTTGTATAGATCCAGTTTCTAAGAGAAGATTCATTCCCATTTTGTACATACAGTAGCTGTCTCGTTTTTTTCTTCTTCTTTTCTTACGTGCAGTGGCCCTAAGGGCATCGCTCCAGTCATCAGCACTTGCAGAAAAGAAGTATGGCTTGTATGGATCCAGTTTCTAGGAGAAGATTCATTCTAGTTTTGCACATTTTGTGAGTAGTGGAGTGAAGCCCTGAAAATCACATGCCGAGTTAGTATGTCGGTAACCCATAACTGCTGAAACACAGACCTGAATTCGAAGCTACACCATGTATACCTGGCCTGCTCCCTCCTCACGACAAGTCCACTAACGACCCATCTGCCGACGGGACCCTTGCCAATTTTAGGTAGGGACCTATTGAAGTACAGGCAGTGGTAGTCTCAATAACGAGAAAGGGCTTTGAGTTTTTTTTTTCTCTCTCTCTCTCTCTCTCTCTCTCTCTCTCTCTCTCTCTCTCTCTCTCTCTCTCTCTCTCTCTCTCTCTCTCTCTCTCTCTCTCTCTCTCTCTGTGTGTGTGTGTGTGTGTGCCCAACGTCTATACACACATCACGGTTGCTTTTTTTTTCTGTGCGTGCGTGTCTGTGCATCTGGGATTACTAGAGTGGCAGCATACTGTGCAGCGCACTTCACCTACGTGCCGCAAGTATGCTTCCCACCCCCTTCACCACCCCCGACACCATTTTTTATTTTTTTGCTCCAAATGGCCTCAAAAACATTTTGGGGGGTCCCCTGGTGGAGCGCAGCCCCCCTTGTTTTTTTTTGTTTTTTTTTTTTGCTTTCCATATTCGAAAAAAATGAGTTGTCCTGGATCCCGGACAACTTCATACAGGATGTCCGACCAAGACAACCGACCATCGGACAACAAGTAGCCTAGGTAAAATCTTTGTCAAAACATATATGTTATGTAAAATAATAACACAAACAACTTTTGTCTCAAAGACATCTTCAAATTCTTAGTCAAATGGAAATTAAAAATAAAAAAAACAAAAGAAAAAAATAAAATAACATTTGGAAAAAAAAGAAGTTTGCCTACAGATGGGATAATATGTTATGGCGAACGTATTAAGTACTATTAACAAACAAGATAACATGTTTGCACGTTCGCCAAACCCTCGAACATGTTCGTCGTCATACACAACTTATAGAACTATACACATGATCTTTTAAGATTAAAAAAAAACATGGATATTTCAATTTATAAATATATGATGCTACGCCTAGTAATGATTTACTGTGGAAAATTTTGATTTTTTCCTCGCCACTTTCAGTGGTTCTCAAAAATATTTTTTGATTCTTTATTTGTGTTTTTTTTCTTACTTTGCAAAGAATTTTACTCATGTAGAAGGTCTAAAAACTGTACTATCAGAATCCTAAATAAATTTCGTTAAAATCGAACATTTTTTGGGGGGGGGCTTTCACGAATTTTATGTTCTTTTTTTTTTCTTTATATATATATATATGATGATATATATATATATATATATGAAACGGTATTCACCTGTTCGCAGTAGCGAATGCAGATCCTAGGGTTCGATCCCTAGTTCCCCATCTTACCTGTGTACAATATGGATGTCAACCCGTAGACTTGAACCCGCGACCTGTAGGACCGCTTGTGGTAGGCAGGGTTTCGTAGGTTACAGGGTAGAAGGGAATCGAACTGTAGACCTGTAGAGTAGGAGTCTAGACAGTTCCGAAGTTGTAGCTGTAGGATGCCTGAAGAGTCAAGGTCGTAGCTGCTACTTAACTGAAAGGCAAAGTCGTAGCTGCTACAACACCGAAAGGCCAAGTTCGATAGTTCTAGAAGTAGACTTTCAGAGTTGGCCTGTGTTCAGTAGAGGCAAGTGGTGAAGTGGTGGTAGTCTACCTAGCCTAGTCAGCAGTCCAAGTCAGCCAGTCCGGTCCTGTTCAGCAAGTACCGTCTGGGACTGTGAGCACATCGTGGGACAAGGGATACAGGGCAGACCAACACAGCGCAGAAGTATGAATCAATAGGCTGCGCCCAGCCATTCATTCATTCCTGCGGATGCCATGCGGAAGCGCTGCCTCAGCAGCTTGTGTGAGGAGGTCTGCAGTGCGCCCGAAGACGAAGAGGGCAGTGAATTGTAGTGTAGCGATAGGATAGTGGCAGCCATAGCTGCAATAGCTATAGTAGCGTGTGTGTGTGTGTGTGTGTTGCGTGTAGAGTGTTGTGTGTGGGACATCCAGGGTGATCCAGAGTGCGAACAGTGAGTTGTGTGGGCGCTCAGTTGCCATAGCCAGTTTGAAGGGAACTCCTACCTGGTTACGATATCTTTGAGTACTGTGTGGACGCATGTCGCCAGTTTGCTGTTTCGCTGTTTGCATGCATGACAAGTGTGAAGAAGTCGAGTCTGATTGCACTGGTATCGGAGCTGGTACCCGCTGTTCCACGCGCCGTCGTGTGCAGGCGCCATAGGTGAGGTGGCTGCTGGAGGAGAAAGTCCGCCATAGCGGACCTTCGGTGGAAGAAGCCGCTGCGCACCTGCATCAAGAAGAACATGACACAGAGAGAGAGAGAGAGAGAGAGAGAGAGAGAGAGAGAGAGAGAGAGAGAGAGAGAGAGGAGTGATACAAGATTGGTTACTTACTTGCTGCGCTGAAGATACCGCTACGGCGAGAGAGAGAGAGAGAAAGAGAGACATGAGCGATCCAAGATTGGTTGTCACTTACCTGTAAGGCGAGACGGCGGAGTCCGGTGGTGAAGGAAGACGGTGGCCATAGCCGCGGAGCATTGACACAGAGTACCGGAGGAGGGAGAAAGGGAGGACAGAGAAGGAGGGATAAAGGAGAGAAAAGAAGAAGAGTGGAAGGAGGAGATTGAAGAAGAAGACAGACATAGACGGGGGTGAACAAAAAAAAAAAAAAAAAAAAAATAGAGAAGAAGAAAGAAGGTGAAGGAAGGGGGAGTAGACGGCGAGGGTGACGAAGGTGAAGGTGTCGGCAGCCATAGCCGAGGTGAGGAGTTGACCAGAGCGTTGACCAGAGGGTTGACCAAGGGTTGACCAAAGGGTCGACCAAGGGCTGACCAGGCGTTGACTGAGGGTGTTGACCAAGCGTTGACTGGGGGTTGCTCGCGTTGACACGGCGTTGACCAAGGCGTTGACCGGAGTTGCTGCTGACCAAGATTTTGACCGAGCTGGAGTTGGTGATACCTTGTTGACCCCTCAACCTATTCCCTTACCCTGTGGATGTGCACACCCCTACGGTACTTGCTGAATTTAGTCTGTTTGTCTTCCTTTCTGCATTGAGTCTCTTCTGTCCTAGGTGTTAGGACTCTGTGGATGAAGGATAGGGCCTTGCTGCCAAACCTGCAGGGGACTTAGTAGGACCAAAGCTCTACTCTGACACTTAGAGACCTGGGCATGAGCGGCGAGCGCTCGTTAAACAACTCGTCTAGCCCAATGACCGGTACTGTCCGGTCAGGTCTGCTGAGTTCAGTGTAGAGGGTCTGAACTGCGAGCTGTGGGCTGAAACGAGGGCCATCTTTGAGTATTGAGGCCTGGTTGAGCCACTTCCCTACCGGACCTAGTAAGGCTGATGATCTGTGTCTGACGACTCGACTGTCCCGAGGGATACGAACCCCTCCAAGGACCGATACAGATGGGCGGGCTGCTAGGTGTGGCACAGTAGGCCGGAACGGCTGAGTTGTGGGTTGAAATTGCCAGGAAGGACCAAGCTGATCATGTCGTCCTGTCTTCGACGTTAAAGAATTCTTGAGGAGTTATGGGGGATCTCCTTAAATGCCTCCAGATCAGCTGTTGGTTATGTAGTGACAGCCTTAGAGTAGTCTTGGGTTAGTGACCATAGTTGACAGGGTCTTACCCTGTGGTCCTTAAAGAGTCAGTCAGTAGGTCAGTGTGTCCGGGTAGGTCTACGTAGTGAGGAGTGGGACCCCTGTCGTGCACCAACACCACGATGGACGACTACTCGATGTATGGGTTGCTGGTTGGGTTCTCCCTCTGGGGGACCCTCTGGCGTCTCCTCTTTCCTCTAGGATTTTGGCATACCTTTGCGTGTAGAGTAGGGCCCACTCGAGGTGGTACCGCCACCCAACCATATACGAAGGAGGAGGAGGAGAAGATAACCGCCATCCTGCAGGAGAGGAAGGAGAAGAAGGAGGCAAAAAAAAAGGCCTTGAAAGAGGAACAGGCGGCCAAACTAAAGAAGATGGAAGAAGAGATGGTCAGGGAGAAAGAGAGGTTGAAAAAGGAAGAAGAAGAGAAGCTGAAGGAGGTGGATGAAGAAGAGGAAGGACCGCCACTGCAAAAGAGTGGGCAGCACAGCGGCGGCAGCAGTGATAAGATGGAGAAGAAGATTTCGGAGTGGGTCGCCAACTTATCCCTGGGTGAGGAGGAAGAGGTTGCTATGTACATCCCCAAGGATGAGCAAGAAACCGCCATGAAGAAATGGGAAGCAGAAGAAGATGTTCTGACGCGGCGGGCGATGGAGGATGAACAGAGGATGGCGTGGAAGCTCGCAGTGATGAGGGAGAAAAAGAGAAGACTGGAGGCGGCGAATGCAGCAATGCAAGAACTAACGGAGGTGAGGACTGCCTTAACAACACAATTGACTCCGCAAGTAGATCTCCAACGCAAAGTGGAGATCATCGCCCAGAGTGTTGACTGGTTAGCTAAAGTGCAAGAAAAGCATATGAGTTTAGTCGCAGCCAGGAGATATCCGTGCGTTCGATGCGAACGGGATTACGGGATTTTGCTCGCGAACTAGTAGGCGCTGTGGGATCCGAGGTGAGTCATCGCCTCGAGAAGACTCAGCGTTTTTGTGTCGGAGCCATCGAAGGCGTCAAGGTGGCCGCTCCCAAGGAGGAGGAGGCCCGTCCTCGCAGGGAGCCAGTCAAAGTCAAATTCCCTGATTCCTACAGTGGGAAAAGGGATGAGAACTTTGACAACTGGGAAGCTAACGTTAAGACCTATGTGCACTTGCAACAGGTCTCCCCGGATCAGCAGGTTCTGATTGTGATCCACACGCTGAGAGATGAGGTCGCCAGTTTTGCAAGGTCCCTAGTTCGCGCTGCCAACTGTAGTGATGATCCCGTTGCGTACTCCTCATTTACATCCCTCACTGAATTCCTGAAGTTGCTGCGCGAGCGATTTGCTGATGTCGCTCGCAGTGTCAAGGCCTCAGACAAACTCCAAACCATCCATTCTTGTAAATGGAAGAGTGTCAGGGCACTCAAGGGTACAATGGATGAGTTGGTGGTCGTCCCTGACCACGGGGTCACAGAGGGCCAATTGGTCAACCTCTTTTACCGGGCTATGCCCGAAGCCTTTCGAGGGCAGTTCTTCACGAAGAGCGAAGATCMTRCCACCACTTACRATTCCCTTAGCCGTGAAGTGGTGGCTTTTGAAGCGAAGTCCRTGTCCCTGTCWACCTTCTGGCACAAGGACTTGGACAGGGGAAAGCAATGGAAAGGCCGCACTATCTCAGGGCAGGTAAAGACTAAGGACAACCTTGTCCTGACTTTAGATGAAGGTAGTGTGGATGAGATCCCCTTCGATCAGATTGAGTGGGGGCTAGAGGAGGAGGACAGCGGTGTGGGCCAGGGGAGATCCTACGCTGCTGTCGCGGCTGGAGGGAGGCCGCAAGGAGGAAGAGGCCAGGGCCAAGGAGGCCGGGCCTCAGGGAATCGATTCCAGGGCGATCAGGGGATTGGCGGCAGAGGAGGAAACCGCCAAGCGGGAGGCAGGGGTCAAGGTCCCTCGCAAAACCGTCCTAGGAATAGGTCTCCCTATAGAGTAGGAGGATGGCACCCAGGGCTGCCTCAGGGTAGGCCGTGGGAATCTTTGGGTTTGGACCAGGCTTTATGGCAACAACGATTGAACCGTGGCCAGTGCATTTTCTGCGGTGACCCGGGSCATATCATCAAATATTGTCCTAAGTATCGAGAGACCCGAATGGCTGCTCGAGAGCCAAAAGGCAGCCGCCGGTAGGGGTAGCAACTGCCCCTACCACTAGGCCATGTGGGGAAAATAGCTCTAGCCGGCAGGAGACTCCCACACCACATGTGCCTACGGCAGAGGTTGCAGGCCGGTGTCTAGACAGCTGTCCCGAGACTGCTTGTGTTAGAGTTTCGCTAGACACCTCCCTCACAGGCGTGGCGGAAGAGTTAAAGGAGAGGAGGCCCGCCTGGGCCAAGATGAAGAAGGAGAATAAAGGGCAGCTGATTTTATTAGATGCAGAGATTTTTAGAAGTAGAGTAGGGGCCCTAGTAAACTCAGGAGCCACCCGCAGCTATATTAGTAAGCAAGCGCTGCAGAAGTTGAGGCTGGGACTTAAGGTCCAGAAACTGACAGACTCCATAGTTAGTATCCTTGCGGACAATCGTACCATGGTTGTAGAGGATTACGTAGAGGGAGTTCAGGCGTATTTCCGCCTAGAATATCCTCCACTCCCTGACTCTCCTCGTAGAGGACAACCTCCCGTTTGATATAGTACTGGGAATGGATTGGGGAGAGGCAGCCGGGGCAATGCTCCATCTGAAGGAGCACGAATGTAGACTCCCTAGTTCTGCAGGCGAGGCTAAGACTGCCCGTCTGTTTCATGTGTCAGGAGTAGAGAATTCCTTGGCACATTGCTGTCTTAGTGCCCCTGCGTTCGCCAGATTGGTGAAGAAGGAGAAATTAGAGGAACAGGTCTTTGTTGCCTATGTTAGGCCCGTCACTGAGCCTACGAAAGAGAAGCCGATGGACCCTGCGATTGCCAAGCTGCTGGAAGAGTTTAAGGATTTGACTGAGCTGCCGACAGGCACGGTGCCGCGGCCCATCCAACACCGTATTGAGATAGAGCCTGGCAGTAGAACTCCTAAGGGTGTGGTGTACAGGATGTCCCCGCGGGAGTTAGAGGAGTTGCGGAAACAGTTGGACGAGCTCCTTGAAAAGGGTTGGATTAGGCCCAGTTCGTCTCCTTTTGGAGCCCCTGTTCTCTTTGTACCTAAGAAAGAGGGAGAGCTGAGGATGTGTATAGACTATAGGGGTCTGAATGCCATTACAGTGAAGAATGCTGAGCCACTGCCTAAGATAGACGATCTCTTACATCAAGTGCAGGGGGCGAAGTATTTCTCCAAGATAGATTTGAAGTCCGGATATCATCAGATTGAGGTACATCCTGATGATCAGTACAAGACGGCCTTCCGGACTAGATATGGGCACTACGAGTTCATAGTGATGCCCTTTGGACTAACCAATGCGGCAGCTACGTTCCAGCGCTGTATGAACGATTTGTTTAGGCCGTGGTTAGACAGGTTTGTTGTAGTTTATCTAGATGACATTCTAGTGTTTAGCAGGACCCTCGAAGAGCATCAGGGTCATCTCAGGCAGGTCTTGGAGAAGTTGAGGGAAGCTAACTTCAAGATCAATGCAAAGAAGTGCGATTGGGCAAAGACCCAAGTTCTGTACCTAGGCCACGTCTTAGACGGAGACGGCGTTAAGGCAGAAGATAGCAAGATCGCAACGATTAGAGATTGACCCACGCCACGTACGCTGACAGAGTTGCGCTCATTCCTGGGCCTAGCTAACTACTATAGGAAGATCGTAAGGAACTTCTCCACCATCGCTGCACCCCTTCGCAGATTGCTGAAAAAAGAGACAATCTAGAAGTGGGACAAGGGCTGCACGTCTGCCATGAAGAAGCTAAAGCAGGCATTGATAGAGTATGCGGTCCTTAAGGTCGTCGATCCGTCCTTGCCTTTTGTCGTTACTACGGATGCTAGCCAGTACGGCATAGGCGCAGTGTTACAACAAGACGATGGCAATGGCTATAGACCCGTAGAGTTCATGTCCGCCAGGATGCCTTCAGAGAAGGTCGCGACATCTACCTATGAAAGGGAACTCTACGCTCTCAGGCAAGCCTTAGACCATTGGAAGCACTACTTGCTTGGGAGGCACTTCAAAGTCTATTCTGACCATGAGACATTACGATGGTTAAAGACGCAGGCCAAGATGACACCTAAGCTTACTATGTGGGCCGCAGAGATAGATCAGTATGACTTTGAGCTCAGGCCTGTCAAAGGGAAGTACAACGTAGTCGCGGATGCTCTGAGTAGGAGAGCGGATTACTTTGGGGCAATAGTACATTACCTCGATATAGGGAGGGACATGCAGCAGAGGGTTAGAGAAGCTTACGCGCAGGACCCTATCTATAGTGAGCTCCTTAAGAAAGTCAAGGAGGCCCCAGAGACTGAACCGAATTACCGCACTACCGAAGGGTTGCTTTTTTAGAAGACTAATGTGTCCGACCGCCTGTGCATCCCCCATAGCGAAGAGATTCGTAGTCTGATTCTGGGCGAATGCCATGACACAGAGGGTCATTTTGGTTGGCAAAAGACTTTAGCCAATCTTATGTGTGCGTATACCTGGTCAGGGATGAAGAATGACTGCGTAGAGTATATTCGCAGTTGCAAAGTCTGCCAGCGTAATAAGAGTTCTACGCGCGCCCCGCTAGGTCTTCTCAGACCCGTGCCCATTCCGGATCAGCCGGGAGACTCAGTGTCAATCGATTTCATGGACACTCAAGTCAAGAGCAGGCATGGCAAGAGCCAAGTCATGGTCATAGTTGACCGCTTTAGCAAGTACGCAGTTTTTGTTTCTTTGCCTTCAGAGGCGCGTACTGATTTAGTCATACAGAGGTTCTTTGACTGTTGGGTTAGTGAGAACGGAATCCCGCTGTCAATAGTTAGTGATAGAGATAGTCGTTTCACCAGCCAGAACTGGCAAGAACTCATGAGAGTGTATGGATCCAAGTTGTTGATGTCGTCCGACCGTCATCAAGAGACTAACGGTCAGACGGAGCAAATGAACAAGATCCTACAGCAAGTTCTGCGCATGTATATTAGGCCGGATCAGATTAACTGGGATGAGATGCTGCCCAAAGTAGCTAGTGCGTACGATATTAGCGTGCATCTGTCTACATGTCGCACTCCCAACGAACTGCACAAGTCCTTAAGACCGCGCAGACCGTTTGAGGGACTCAACCGGGATCAGATTCACAGATTGCCGCCTGGGACCCGGGAGTTTGCTTTGCAGCACGAGAGAGAACTAGCTACCGTTGTAGAAAACCTCAGGAAATCCCAGCATAAGATGATAAAGCAAGAGAACAAACATCGTCGCCCTTCACAGTTCCAAGTAGGCGACTTAGTCTGGGTTAGTTCCAAAGAGTTTGCGCATGAGGAGGACATATCGCAGAAGTTACTGCCCACATATAGAGAACCGTGGCCTGTTCTAGAGGTCAAGGGCGGCGAAGATGGACCGTCCTATACCATAGAGCTACCAGCACACCTCCACACTTACCCAATTTTTCATGCGTCAAAGTTGTTACCTTGTCAGACAAGTGACCAGTTTCTATCCCGTAGATCGATGATCCCACCAGATATGGATGGAAGATACGGCATAATGGTATAGTGGCTGAAGCTGTTTTCAGAACTGGAGGTAGGGGTCGTCCGCAGAAACAGTACAAGGTTCATTTCAGTTATCAAGAACCGGAAGACGACCGCTGGTTTACAAGATCCGAACTTCGAGAGACAGCTCCCGATATAGTCCGGGCCTATGAGAGACAACTGAAGGGTAAAGGTCCTGCCTTGGACTGAAATTTTCTCGGAGGACCTCGAATTTAGGCCGGCGGGAGTGAGACGGTATTCACCAGTTCGCAGTAGCAAATGCAGATCCAAGGGCTCGATCCCTAGTTCCCCATCTTACCTATGTACAGTATGGATGTCAACCCGTAGACTTGAACCCGCGACCTGTAGGACCGCCAGTGGTAGGCAGGGTTTCGTAGGTCACAGGGTAGAAGGGAATCGAACTGTAGACCTGTAGAGTAGGAGTCTAGACAGTTCCGAAGTCGTAGCTGTAGGATGCCTGAAGAGTCAAGGTCGTAGCTGCTACTTACCTGAAAGGGCAAAGTCGTAGTTGCTACAGCACCGAAAGGCCAAGTTCGAGAGTTCTAGAAGTGGCCTTTCGGAGTTGGTCTGTGTTCAACAGAGGCAAGTGGTCAAGGGCAGACCAACACAGCGCAGAAGTATAAATCAAGAGGTTGCGCCCAGCCATTCATTCATTCCTGCGGATGCCATGCGGAAGCGCTGCCTCAGCAGCTTGTGCGAGGAGGTCTGCAGTGCGCCCGAAGACGAAGAGGGCAGTGAAGTGCAGTGTAGCGACAGGATTGTGGCAGCCATAGCTGCCATAGCTATAGTAGCGTGTGTGTGTGTGTGTGTTGCGTGTAGAGTGTTGCATGTGGGACATCCAGGGTGATCCAGAGTGCGAACAGTGAGTTGTGTGGGCGCTCAGTCGCCATAGCCAGTTTGAAGGGAACTCCTACCTGGTTACGATATCTTTGAGTACTGTGTGGGCGCATTCGCAAGTTTGCTGTTTCGCTGTTTGCATGCATGACAAGTGTGAAGAAGTCGAGTCTGATTGCATATATATATATATATATATATATATATATATATATATATATATATATATATGTATATATATCCAGGATCACCAGCCCGTACGTATGGAGGTCCCCGGGCAGACCTCCGTACGTACGGGCATTCGGGTCCGAACCCGACGGCATTCGGCCCCCGCCAGAAATTATTTTAGGGCCTAAAAATAATTTTTTCTTTCTGAATTATGTTTTGTGAGTTCTCTATGACGTGAGGTACATGCCTATAAATTTTCAAGTCATTTGGCACAGCCAGATAAAAAATAAAAATCGCTAAAGATGGCGGTGTCAAAACGTGCTCGCCCACATTTTTTTTCACTTTTTACTTTTGGTTTTCACTTTAGTTCGGGGTCTAAACAATTTTATTATTTTTTGAAACTTTTTGGGTGGGTTTTGTATTATGTGAAGTACACATCTGTAACTTTTCAAGGCATTTAGCTAAGAAAATGAAAAATCGCCAAAGATGGCGGTGTTGAAGACATGCTCGAGCACTCACTAAATTGAATTCTCTTTTGATTTTTATTTATTTTTATTATTAGTATTTGTTCTTCGTATTTTATTTTTATTTCAAATTTGGTAAGGAATTCGGACATAATGCTCAGGCAAATCTTGTTTAATTTATTGTTCTCCATAACATATCGTTTTTTCAGATTTGTTTGATGAGGTTTTTTTTTGTTTTTTTTTTTTTTTTCTTGGGTTCGCGTTTGGCCTGAACGGCCGAACGCATCCCCAAGAGGTCCCATACGTTCGGGCATTTGGCCCGTTTCGAATGCCGGTTACCCTGTATATTGTTTGTGACATATATATATATATATATATATATATATATATATATATATATATATATATATATATATATATTTCCTTCTTTTGTTTTGGATTTAACTCCCATGAGCAACAGGAAAGAAATACGATGGGACCCATGCTCAGTAAAACTTCGTGCACAGTGAAATTCGGGCTCTACAAAAAGAAGATCAGAGATACTAGTGGTTTAATGGACCACGAACCACAACCATGTGCACCTCAACGAACTCGAAAACCCTATAACCGAAACGCCACACACACATTCATGATCAGAATTTTAGCCCTCGTTGGCATCTTGGAACAAGCGGAGACTAGGGGGGAGCGAGGGCGCAAGGGCGGCAAAAGTGAGTTGAACACCTGTGGATGAAGATGTGAAAACGCACGAAAGACGGATATGGAACAACAAATATCATTGTCAGACAAACAACAAGTTCAGCAGTCGTGTATACAAACATCTCCCATATCTGACCGGTCCACCACGTCTCCCATTTTGCCAAATTCCCTGTTTCCAATTGTTATGGCGCCAATATCTTCGTTTAGAAATTTTTCATCATTTTTGCAAGTTAGTTTAAAAGAAGATAAGAAATTTGGATACATCGTTGCACAACATCCAAGGACCCCGTTTCCAGTAGGTGTCTCTCCCCACCAATAGATCATAGAGCAGTCCGACGAGCAAGACCTCAATTTCGGTGGTTCTCTTACCACCATCCAACATAGTAGGCTCGCAAATGGGGTTTGACAAAAAAAAAAAAAAAAAAAAAAAAGGTGAGAAATTTGAGGTAAATTCAGGAGGTTAGAGCAAATTTTCGACCCTCATGGCCCCTCAAGCCGCCGACAAAAAGGTTCATATGTGACGTATCAACTTCTGTACCCAAACGAACTTTCGAAGCCTTGAGTTTTGTTATCTGTGTTTTTTTCATCTCTAACGAGCTTTAGGGGTACCCTTCTTTTTGGCTGGCGGTATATGCATGGAATCAATGGTTGACAAGGCCCTCCTACTTTTTATGACTTGTTGCTTTTCTCTCCGGCAATCCATGCATTTATGTAGGACTTACACGGGTCTTAGTGATCGCATTAATGTTTTTGTTCGGCAGTTGGCAACTCTAGAATTTATGGTCGTGTCTCCTGCTGGCTTGTCCTTTCTTGCAAATGAATGTTTCTAAATTCACCCTTGAAGGCTTTGTGAATCTTCAGGAGGATCTGAATAGGCGTAGGATTTTTTCATCTCATTTCCCTATGTACTTCTTCACATCTTCTTTCCTCCATCTACAATTGTTTTCCATCCCCTCTGTCTGCACGCTTCTCCCCCACTGGTTTTCGTCTGAATGTTGGTCACGCTCTATACTACTCTTTGCGCTCCCCTTCTTCCTGCCTTCATCCCCATAAAGAAACTTGAATTCCCTACCGATCCCCCCCCCTCAGGGGTGCACGAGCCATTTGGCGACATCGTGTACGGAGGTATTGCCCTCATGTTGTGATCTGATTGGCTTCGAAGGAACCCGCGAGGATCGATATGGCTTT